TAACCCACCAAATTCTTCCCACAGTTCCAAGCTGGGATAACAGAGAGAAAACAGTCCAATTGCTGCTTTTTTTTCATTCTAAATGATGGCAGCATGAAGGCTAATCAACCAGCTTCTTGTAAGCATGCCATCCATGACCCTACGCACAGACACACAAAGTCAAATACACACTGTTGATGTTTTTACATCAACAGTTTTCCACTCTCAGAAATTTCTTGAGTGAACGAGATAGTGCCAGTTCAGAGTCCCACCACGCCCCCCAAACATGCACATCCCAGCTTTGAAAGGAAGAAACATTGTAAACCAAAACATTGTGCAAAAACAAAAAACAACAACAAAAAAGCCTTTCTGCAAAACTTTAAGAACTTGTCTTAAACCCCCATCTCCTCTAAATGACTATATAAATATCAGCGCCCTAGCCAAGTCTAAAATGCAACGTTAGGCAAAATGGAAGAGAAAACTTTGTTTAAAAAGAAAAAAATAATCCAACATTGCTGAATCAAAATGTAAATCATCATTTACATCAGACGCTAATGCTCCAAGTGGGTAACCCTTGGGCCTGGGCTCCTGAGCCAGCTTGAGAGCAGTTACACACATTTAATCTCACAGAGCATCCGCATTGTACCTCCTTCCCGTGGTCTTTCCAGCGGTTGCCCTCTAGGGCCGAATTACAGACCTTATGCCTGGTGAAGAAGAGAGCTGACTTTGCTGATTGACAGCAACAATAACAACATTTGTGCGGAGAAATGTAAACCAGACTGACAGTTATTGAGCAAAGGTACTTCAAAAGTCAGCCCCTCTTTCTCCTATGGTAGGAGTGTGCATGTGTTTGGGGGGCTGGGATGGGAGGTCTTTTCTTGGTGAGGAGAGGAAGAAAGTGCAAAAACTAATGTACCAGAGAACCACTCTTTCTGGAATTCATAGAGTCTGGCCTTTTATCCCTGGGCGCAAGCCCAAGACTGGGGACCCGGGTTTTGTCAGGGGCGCCTCCCTGCTGTCCTGCCCGGGGCTGCTCCACACGAGCAGAGAGAGACAGGAGGCAGGCCCCTCTGACACCTACTTAACCGAGGCAGATGGAGAGGAGAGTGTGTGGGATGCCTTTACTTCCCCCTTAGGAGGCGCCCAGCAGGAGCCCACAGAGCCAGCAGCTCCAAAATCGGATTTCCACACATCCTCCCCCTCCTCGCCTCCTCGGAACACACCTTGGCCCTCTGGCAGGAGGAAACAGAGCATTAGGCCAAGTGTGGTTCTGGTGTACAAAGGGGTTGGGAAGACCTAAAGAAGCCTTCTTCCAGGATCCCATACTTTTTTCAAACCTCTAGAGAAGTAGCCCAGTTGGGGAAACAGTTACTCCCTCACTGACCCAGAGAGGGCAAGGGTGTTACTTTGAGGAGGACACAATCAGTGTCTGCAAGACGTCCTGAGCTGCAGACACATACTTTATTAATAATCTTACATACACAAAATGTCCAAGGGAAAGCCTAACAGGCGAATTTCTGACAGCTCCAGATAACAGCGGGACAAACCGAAGCCATGCTGACTCCCCAGCTTCCACAAACTCCACAGAAGCCATGATCCCTTTCCCACCCAAGGGACGTGATGCAAATAAATAAATACAATTATCTGCAGAACTTAGAGTGCAAGAACAACGCTGTGGAGTCCTTCTCCCCGAATGCAGTGACTTGTGGGAAACAGACAGGAAAATAAGGAGAACAGCTGGAAAATTTAATTGCAGAGGAACAACGTGGAGGCTGACATTGTTTCACGGAAGTAGCCAAGAGCCAAAGCCACTCTCCCTTACCTTAAGATACAGAAGCAGCTCTTCGCCCCTGAAGATAAGCGGCAGAACCCGAATCTCTGTTTGCTGTCAATGTCAGTGAGCACGAACGTGAAGTTCTGGCCAACTTGGCTAACTGTGAGGCTGCGGCAAAGACAGAACAAAGGGAAAAACGAACGTGCAGTGAGTTTCTTGATAAAGTATCTAATCACGACAAGTCGTTGAACCTGTAACATTTCCTTTCTCAGTGAAACTCTTTACAAATGAACTCAAAATTTACACACTTGAAGGGAACAGACTGTGAGCTAGCAAAAAACAAACAAACAAACAAAAAAGATCGCAAGCAGCCCATTCTAGTGACCACCTCACTACCAAAGTAGCTACCAAACCTTCCATTTACAGAGTTCAGGCAGGTAGCCCTGTTAATCATCTCATCAAATCCTGAAGATACATCCTATTAACCTCATTTTATACATAGTGACCGCCTCATCACCTCACTGGAGCTCCCATGCCTTCCACAGATTGAGTTCAGGCAGGTAGCCCTGTTAATCATTCCACCGAATCCTGAAAGGAGCATTCTATTAACCTCATTTTATAGACAAGGCAACAGCCTAGGGCAGCACTGCCTAAGGTGCCAGCTGGTTAGCTGCAAAAAGCTGGGTTTTAAACCTAGGCCTTTGTGACGCCAAAGCCTACCCTGCCAGCTTGCTGTTAACGATGTTCACCTGACCATTCCTCTAGTTCAGAAAACAAAATGGCAACAGAACTTAAGCGTCTACTGTGTGCCAGTCACCAAGCTGGACACTTGATATATTCCATCTCATTTACTCTCCAAACAACCCTGGAATTTAGATGATGTTCCCATTTTACAGGAACGGCAACTACAGGACGGAATAGGCATGTAAGCGAATCATGCTCACAGAGCTTCCAAGGGGAGGAGGTGGAATTCAAGAGGGCAAGGTTAGTTACTACTGTCCTGAATTCTTGTCTCTTTCACAACATTGGGGTTTGGGAGGAACATGTATGTTACAGGACAGAAATACCAAATGTCTTAACAATGCAAGGTGCTAAGAAATGGAAACAGGCTTTAAAGACAAACAGTAAAGAAAAAAAAGCCAAAAATTCCTGCATCGACACAAAAATCAGCAAGCCACGCATAAAACATAAAATAGGAAATATGTTTCAAGAGATTAAAAAGCATGTTACTAATCAGATTAATCTAGAAATGTTTCTGGCGTTTGCAAAATGTTTTTAAAACCCCCTTTTTAAAATCAGTTTACCACTTAGCTTGGATTCCTTTTTAAAAACTTAAATATTCCAAATTCTAATACACAAATCTATGCTACCATAATATTTTAGAATTTGGCATTGAATTATTAAACTAACTCATTAACTTACATTGTATTTTACATATATTGTATTTTACAAAATATACTCAAATTGATAAATATTCAAATCAATGCTCTCACCTGTAATTTACTTTATAAGTTGCCAGCAGAAATGAAAAATCATTCACCAAGCCCCTTCCAAAGGCAGATAGATTTACGGAGTCTTTGGAATAGGATATGTAGTTAATTTTTCAAATATGGATAGCCTTCATTTCTAACACTTCCTTATACAAACCACACAAGAAAATTAAAATGAAAGAGACTTTCAAGGTATCCCAGTACAACAGGGTCAATGGACCCTACCTGGTCATGTTTAAGGAAACAATTCCATCCCCTAGAGGGTGGTTACAGAGTACAAGAAAATAATTCAGAAAGAAAAGAAAGTGTTCCACTCTCCCTTCTTAACTAGGAAGGTGAGCGAAAACAAGGTGGCAATTTAAAAGCAACGTGTAATAAAACAGGTGTAAGTAATGCTACCCCTCCACCTTACACAAGCCAGGAGAAGGAACACATTTCTATAAAAGTTATAGAGCTGTCCAGGGGACACCAAACTCTACCTTCCTATGGCTGTTATGTTTTATCAATAAAGCTTGGATACTGTGTTACTATGGTGATTTAATACTATGTTTTAAAGGGGGATTATATGATTAATTTTAACAAGGTTGAGAACTGAAGATGTGTGAGAAACAGGATTCTAGCTCACATAATTAAAGTGATTGGGGAGAAAAGTGGGCCTCACTGGGGGGGGAGGAGAAAAAAACTTGAATTATTAAAATATTTAAAGCAACAGGTCACAATGATTTCTACATTACAAATAAGGTCATGCTTTTGTGACATACTATTATGTGATCATATAAAATATGACTGTTCATTATTTTAACTCAGGGTGCGATTTCACTTCTAGAATGTTTAAAATGAGGCATCTGAGAAGGAAAGGGTATTGATAGGACTGAATGAAAAGAAAACACCCGGGATCCTTAGGAAAAGGACACAGAATGAACACAACTTGGTTTGTGAAGGGAGTGTCATTAATTTCCCTATTTATCTTTTCACCACCATTAAAAACGCTGAAAATGCTTTTAGCGACATCCTAGGCTCAAAGAAAGATTCATTACTCATTTACTTGGTTCAAATCCCAACTCAATCACTTGCTAACGGGGCCTTCATTTAGCAAGTTACTTAACCTCTAAGCACCTCAGTTTCTTTACCTGGAATAACAATGAGAGACCACTGCTCAACCCAAAGGAGGTTTTGGGAATAAGTGAGGTAAGCATTTACCATAAAGGCCAGTCCATAATAAAAACAATTAATAAGAGAGACGCAAGCTGTCAAGTTACCTACCATCGGAAGGAAAACAAAAATTCATATTAAAATCATGCATTTGCTCAGCATCTTCCTGACGGATTCATTTTTGTAATCCTTACGAGTGGAGAAAGGAAGCCTGCCTTTCTCTCTTCTCAGTTGCATCTTTTCAGTAAAGGACAGTCCTTTGGGAGACCAAGGGAGCTGTTCATGCTTACAGTAATGTAAACGAGTAAAGGGACACAGCTTAGGAAACAACATTTGTTATTCTCAGTTGATTCACCGTTTTTATCCTAACAGGGTAGGGGCGCCTGGGTAGTAGTAGCTCATTCAGTTAGGCATCCAGTTTCAGCTCAGGTCATGATCTCGTGGTTTGTGGGTTTGAGCCCTTCATCAGGCTCTGTGCTCATAGCTCAGATTCTGCTTCGGATTCTGTGTCTCCCTCTCTCCGCCCCTCCCCCAATCGTGCGCACTGTCTCTCAAAAATAAGATAAAAAAAAAAAAATGTAAACACTAATAAAGTACAAGCCACTTAAACAAACAAGCAAAAGGGGTCCTAAAGCAGCAAACTCTCAAATCTCTTCTCCTTGGACAATCTGCAATAAACTAAAAGTTAGGCAAGGGTGCTCAGAGGTTAAGTTGAAGGGTTCTCAATCTCTGAGGAATCTTGTCATTCCCTCTCCGCTTGCTGCTGTACTCTGGGAGAGTTTCACTCTTTCTCCATAAAAATGACTTTGGGGAAAGGGTCTGCTTCGTTAGACGCTGCAGGGTTTGTGTCTACCTCCAGTATCAGAATCCAGAACTTTTTAACAGGGATCAGAGATTTCACAATGATTAAAACAGGGAGGAACTGCAGACACCATCTGACTCGAGTCTCTTGCTTTATAAGATGGGAAAACTGAGGCACATGGTCTTTTTGTTTTGTTGGTTTTGTTTTCTCAAGGTATCAGGACTAAAACGAAATTCCAAGCCCCATTCTGCTTCAAAGCCCTCTCCATCCTGCCAGCCTCCACTAAACACGATGAAACCCTTCCCTCACCTCCAGCGTTCAACTCCACTGAAGGAACTCAGGTATGTGAGGGATCCAGATAGTTGTCTTCTCGAACAGACCCACTGCCCACTGAGCAAGGGAAACCAAATTTGAGTATTTCCAGAAATAAGCCCAGGAGACCAGGGCCAACACCACCCTTCACTGCACTTCCCAAGCCTAGATGAATATGGAAAACAAGGGAGAAAAGCAACGAATATTCAAACCAGATGTTAACATTCAGGCTGACTTGGAAATGCCTGTGAACCATTCAAGGCTCCTCCAGCAGCATTTTGCTTAATCTCGAAGTTATTTACAGGTTCAGTGTATAAATGACAGGAAGCATGTCAACAGACAGGGTGATTTCAACCTTCCAGGGAGAGATGGGATTTTCCGTATTATCTCACTTTCAGTTTAGCTGTCCATCTTACATGAGCAACTACTAGACTGCTATCCCGTAAAAAGTGCTCACCATCTGTCCTGCTACAGAGATTCCCAGCTAGCTGGAAAGGAATAAACAAGTGTACCACAAAGCATACAGCTTGTACCAGTGTTTTATGAAACCAAAGTAAGAACAAGGAAGGAAGAAAATGCAAGAAAAGGCAAAGCCCTATTCAGACAAGGAGGTTAGAGACAGCTTCTCAAAGATGACAAAGGACGAGCCGGAGCAATGACTTCAGAAACAGGGGACTGGGTGTTTCAGGCAGAGGAATGAGCAGGGCAAAGATTCTCAGGTGGGAAAGAGCTAGGCATGTTCAAGGATCTCAAAGGACACCAGTGCAGCTAAGATAGAGGAGCTAAAGGGAAAGTGGCATGATAGGAAGTTGCTAGATAAAAGCAAAAGCCAGATCATACAGAAAGCTGCATCGGTCATGGTAAAAATTTGGGATTTTTTTTTTTTTTTTTTTTTTTTGTAAAGGTGATGGAAAGCCACTGACAGGTTTTCATCAAGGGAATAACAGTCTAACCCAATTGTAAATGTCATGTGGAGAATAGTTTAGGAGAAGGCAGAAGTAGAGGCAGAGAAAATAATCAGGAGGCTACTGGACTAGTCCAGGTGAGACAAGGTAGAGGCTTAACTCATGGTGGGAAGAGTGAAGGTGGGGTCCGGGTGGAGAGTTCCAAATTACAGCCAGCTGGTGTGCATAACGACAGGCTTGCAGATGTACGGAGAGTAAAAAGACAGCAAATTACTCTTTCATGATACAAAACACCAGTTTGGGGGGAGAGCTAAGAGTTCCATTCAGGATATGGTAAGTCTGAGAAACCCTGAGATAGAAATGTCAAGTACGTGGTTGAACATACTACCTAGGAAATCAGAGGGAAGGTTTGGGTTGGAGCTATAAATTGATGTCGTCTACACCCAGATGTATTTAATGTCACAGTAAAATACAAGGTCACTTAGCGAGAGCATTCAGAGAAACAAAAGAGGATCAGGACGAGATTACCCATAGATAAAAGACCATCAAAGGAAAAGTGGAGAACAGGCAGGAAGGAATGGTCAACTGTACCCATGAATCAAGATGGGACAGAAAAATTGAAGTGAGCGATATACAGGTTGCAGATGCCCTTGATAAGAAAAGCTCGAGGTGAATGACAGAGGCAGAAGAAAGACTGAAGAGGGCTGAGGGGTAAGCTGGAGTGTGTAGCTAACTCTTCCAAGAAGGACAATGAACGGGAACAAGAGGATAGAGAAATAGCAGAACTGGTTTTTAAGCTGCTCTTGATGATTCAACAGAGGCAGAGATTCATGACGCAGGAGCGGGAAGAAACAGGCCTTTGGATTCGAATCCCAGATATGCTGGTCATTAGCTCTGGGAGGGCAGGCAAGTTTGTACCTCTCTGACCCTCACCTACAAAATGAAAATACTTTGCAGAGTGGTTTTGGGGAGTAGAAACAATGTATGCAAAGTAACTAGCATATAGTAGATACAAAGTGAAAATAATCGTTATGAAATTATAAAATTCGAGACATGGAACCTAACGTTCTGTCATCCTCAATTTAATATGGCTCACTAACAATTACCTGTCAAGCACCACTGCAGGGCCCCCCTAGTGCTGCTTTTCCTTTCCTTCTGTGCATACAGGACATCGGGCAGGGATCAAGTTTTATCATACTACCACATCTCAACCTTAAGTTACATGAGCCTCAAAGCTTCCTTCCATAAACCTTTCATCTGCCTAAGACTCAAGTTTCTCACATTCCAAGCTCAAAGATCCAAGTGGCAAGAATGGCATTGACCCAAAATGTCTGGGGACCTAGAGTAGGTTACACACTGCCAGATACAGGGCAATACCTATCTGCTCGAGAAACTCACCAGATGATTTAGAGAGATCTCTCCACTCCTTCACCTACATGAACCTGACAAAGCAAAACTGAATCCTAAACTGGAAAATCAAAACAGTATCAAAACCAGAAGGAACAGGAGAGACCTAATCCAGTCCCCTCATTTTACCCATGAAGAAAACTAAGGCCCTTAGGGGAAACGTCACTTGCCACACATCAGGGACCAAGTCAGCGGCAGAACAAAAAATAAAACCTAGGTCCTCCAGGTTGCTACCCCCAATGATCTGCCCACTAAAGCCCTGCTGCTTCACTGTTGTCAAATGCCGTGGACAGTGACCACAAGGCGCGAGGAGCAAAACAGAGGTTGCAGATGACCGTGGTAAGAAAAGTCACGGGACAAAAACCAAAGACGACAGACAGGGATGAAAGTGGGCCAAACGAATCCGGTTTCACAAAGCAGAATATGATGAATGTATAGACGCAGAATAAGGGCCAAGGTCTGGGCAGGCAGAGACTGACACACTAATCATGCACATTAGTTTCATTTTCTGCCTTAGGTTTCGTTCTCTTCCGTTATTAGAATTTTCTGCTTTTCTACAACAAATATACATTGCTTTGAAAGAAACTTTGACTTTTTTTTGGTATTTCTTTATTTCTTTTTAATTTTTGTAATGTTTATTTTTGAGAGACAGAGAGAGGACGCGTGCACGCGTGCACACAGGGGAGGGGCAGAAAAAGAGGGAGACAGTATCCCAGGCAGGCTCCGTGCTGTCAGCAGAGAGTCTGATGCGGAGCCCGAATCCACAAACTGTAAGATTGTGACCTGAGCCAAAACCAAGAGTCAGACACTTAACCGACTGAGCCACCCAGGTGCCCCTGGTTACTTTATTTCTGGTGTGATGGATCTAATGGAGGTGGTGTGATAGAGAAAAAGTAAGGTGGAATTGGAAGTCAGATAAATGTGGGTTCTGAGAGCTGCTCTACCACTTACTAGGAGTGGGACCTCGGGCAAGGTTTTGAAGCTCTCTGAGCCCGTTTCCTCATATTTGGCATTATGGTGATGGTAAGCTGTCAAATGTGTAAACCTTTAGTGCAGGAGAACACAGCACACTGCCTGGCACGTAACAGATACATAACAAAACAGCAAACAGCGTGTGAATCCCATCTGCATCCCTGGTTACATCCTAAGCCAACAAACTGCACCTTCCCTTGACCCTTAAAAGATCATGTCATTTCATCCTTGCTCATGTCATCTGTGTGTACTGGGGTACAGGATGATTTATAGGGCAATCGGACGGTAGCTGACTTGCTGGGTTCTGAAAGAGGAGAAGCACAAACCTGGAAGGAAGGAAGAGCTTTTCCATCCTCCAGCGAGTCTCCTGAGTGCTCCGACTGAAGCAGGTTGCCAGCTACCAAGGGCAAGCAAGTAGCACCACGGTATGAAGTGGCACATAAATCTTTTTTCTTCCCTTTTTAAAAAAAAAATTTTTTTTTAATGTTTATTTTTGAGAGAGAAAGAGAGAGGGGGAGACACAGAATCCGAAACAGGCTCCAGGCTCTGAGCTGTCAGCACAGAGCCTGACATGGGGCTCGAACTCACGGACCGCAAGATCATGACCTGAGCCGAAGCCCAACATTTAACCGACTGAGCCATTCAACAGGTCACGTCAAGACTCCTTTCCACCAAGAGCCTCAAGTACAGCATAGGGTGGAAATAACTCTGCACTAGGAGTAAGAGTGTGTGTTTCTTTGCCAGCTGTGATTGCTTCGTTGTGACCATAAGCAAATCATTTCACCTCTACAAATCCCGGTTTCCCTTCTGTAAAATGGGACGTGTGAACCAGATGAATTTCATCTTGCTCCCACACACTTTCAAGGCCTCCTGTAGCCAGAGCCCAAGCTATCACGGTACACGTCACCCTCTCCCCAACAGGCTCCATCTGCTCTGGCTGAGCAAGCTCTAGGCTCACCCGTGGTTTCTCCTCTGCTTTGCTCTTCAGCACAGATGGGGAGGGAGGCTCTCCCTTCCACTTACCCCCTGCTCACTGTCCTTGCAGACTCAACCCTTGTCTCCCCCACCGTGAGAAGTTTTCTCTGACCATCTCAGTCTTCTCTAACCTCACTGTCCATTTGGAGAGATACTCTTTAACGCGTGCTTGTAATACTTCCTGAACTACACTGAGAAACACATGGTGGGTGGGACCCCAAGTCCAATACCATTTCCGTGCCGCCCGACAGAGGGCTACACATTTGGAAACTTCCTTTGCTCTTTTGTAAAAGAGATCCCACCATCATCCATCTTTTAGAAGAAACAAATGAAGTACCAGTGTAGACGTGTCCAGCACGCTGACTGGAGTCAATTAAGGGCTCAAATACAAATTTCCTTCCTTTCTGCTCTGTTTGGTGACTGATGCTCCCACAACAATGTTCTAGAAAAATGTATTCATTTGGGAGATGGACATCTACGTTGTGCCAGCAGCCTAAGGGGGCTGTGGGCAAATCCTAACTTCTCTGCAGCTTAGAGTTTGTTCAAATGAGGATAATAGCACCCGTTCTCATCTCTTAGGACAGGAGGATAAAGTGAGGTAACACATGAGAAAGCACTTTCTTTTGAAGAGCCACTGGCATTATTATTTTTCATAAGTCCTACTTTCAGGAAGAAAAATCTTAAAACAACACAAGAGACAGTAAGATGTCAATGTTAACGGGTGATTTGACGATGACTGTGAAAATCCCACTCTTGATATAGACTAGAAG